TTAACGTTCGAAAAGTAACTCATCAAAATGATGATATTAGCAAAAAGAGTCATGAAGTAATCTCTCATTGCAATGGACACCATGTCCAATATAAGTTCTCATGGAACTCAAAATGTGTTGTGGTGGAGCAATTGGGATGTATTCTGCACACTCAAATTTTCTAGCATTTTAAATGTTTGGTCCTTGACCAAAACCATTTGTATGAAAGGGGGGAACTTAGGATAACTTGTTGGCTTCATGCGAATTAATGATATCATATGCCTCGATAAGAGATTGATAGGCTTAGCTTGTTCTCATAAGAGAAGTTCTGTTTGATTGGATAATCATCAAAATATATCCATCATTCGACAACTAATCTCGCAAACATCAGGTTGCGGTTAGATAACAGACATATATGACGATATAGTTGATGAATCAATCAAAATCATAAAATTCATATATGATTTGCACGGTGAGTGTATTTTTCTGCATAAATTTTTATAAAATCTCAACATATTCAATTATTTTCACGAGTATATTCTCCTCGAGACCATCTATCACATAATCAATCCTTTGATTGATGAATTCTCTAAACTTTCACTTAATTTCCGTATGATATCTCAATCATTTTTGCATTTGTATCCGGGATGGTATGACTGGACATGCCAAAACAAAAAGTTATCCGATCTTGTAAACTTCTGGTTTACACTTTCATATGTACTAATATACACGTAGTACAAATTTCTCCAGTTAAGTAATGTTCTCTTAGAACACATTTCTGATGCAATATCAAATATGATTTTCTTTTCTACGAATATCTTCATAATTCGGTAATACATCTTCAACTGACAGTTTAGTTCATTCACGTCTCAAAACATTAGCTCTTCTGGAGCCTTCACATACTCTTGTACTACATTTTGGCCATGAGGCACCTTCTGATTCGGTAAACTATTGTAAGCGCATATACATAGTGATAATAATATTTTCATACTATGGATATCACCAATATATTGTTTAGTTACTTCAAGTAACAAAACACAATCTCTTCCGGAGCTTTTGCTTGCTTTCATACTATATGATATAATACCAGTATTGACTTTTGCAAATATTCATTCTATACAAAAGCATACAAAATAATAATAACAACAACAACATATATGTGTTTCATAACACATTTCGGCATACGAAGGTTACGGTATATGATCATGACTTTTGCTACATGAATTGTCATCCTCATTTATAATTATTTTATCTTTCACTTCCGGTGAAAAGATACATTTGCTGATTGTCGCTATCCAACCACCAAATTATATTAATATAATGGTGTGTCTCGATCCATTCACTTTTAAGAATGGTTTGTTTTCATTCGCTTCCAGGAATGAAACAACACCATTTGGATCAAATTATATAATATTTCTCATCACAAGACCAATACACTTTTCACCTTTAACAAACAAGAAATAACTTATGCTTTATAAAACCTCTTTCATAATATTGCTACTGCAGGAGCACATATAGATTTTCATTTTCCTTCCATTGATTCTTGGACCAAGAAAACTTCCTTTCATATATTGGGTTCAAGACCAATGATACATTTTTCTTCATTTTTCCACTTCAGGGAAAATGAGATCTTTACATTTCTCTATATGTACAATGTAGCAATCGATAAGTCAACCCATAATGATTTTGCTACTACAGGAGCATTTTTTATTTTTTTATAATGTCCAAGCACAAAATATATGTTACAAGATCGACATATATAAAATAAGTTCATAAAATAATATGAACAAATAACATGATCAAATAATCTCTCAAAGACAATGGGATAGATAAACTTACTAACAAGAAACGACACGAAATGTTGCATACCTTGATCGTGTTGTGATCTTACTCAAGTAAGTTTTGATTATGTAAAGAGACAATAACCAACCATGACTCTGGCAGAGCTTCCTGCTTATAACGTGATAAGAAACTAAAGGAATAGATAAACAACTATAAGAGAGTATGACGAGGAAAAGACACAAGGGAAAAGAGAGGAGAAGAGTTATTCTTATTCATCTTATCCCTTTGTACAATGGGGAGCTCTATTTATAGGCACATATGCATAACCTTCAGATTCTCATCTATCAATGCACATAAATGTGATACAATAACCTTGAAGAGAATTCATTTCCATGATCAATGTAGGGAGGTAATTACCTCCTAATGTAACATCCCATATGGAATCCAAAGTAGCATTCAATGGACATCCACCATATTATATTGTTTCCTAACAAATATGAATTTATCATTAGTTTTTTTAGTATTTAGCATCGTCTTAACTGACGATAAAATGATTATCAACGCATCAACCAAGTCCGTCGGTGAATCTATTTACACTAAATTTATTATCGTCAATTTTGATAAATTGACAAATCAGGTATCGGTATATTTTGTGTCGTTTAAAAATCGATGGTAAACGTAAGAAACCAATGTTAAATTCAATAATTGAATTGTTCAATTGACTTACACAAGATTTTTTGAACCAACGATATTTCCTTTGAGAATTAATTGCACCATGTGCCACTTAAGTTTACTATTTGTTGCACGTTAACCACTTAAGTGGGATTTGTTGTAACTAAACTATTTAGGTTAACTTCCGATTGCATAGTTATCTTTTCCGTCCCCCAAACTAACGGTAGGTGTCCAGGCATAATTTTCCATGCCACGCATGCTGCCACATCAGGCGCTGCAGAGTGAGCCACCTATGGGCCACAACAATCTTTATGGGCCCACAAAACCCAAAGAATTCCTGTGTGGTGAACTTCCTTCTTCACACTTGATTCCGACAGCCAAACCGTCGAGCATCCTTCCCTGCAGAGAATAGAAAAATCACCAAGGCAATACTTGGCGAGAAGATCGCATGAAGAAGGAAGAAAGATTGACATACGCAGCAAAAAACATAGGTAAGTGATCTAGACCTCTGTTGCAGTACTTTGTTTCTTACTCTGTTCCAATGAACTATCTTCGGAACGATTTTGAGAGATACATCGAAGGAAAACCTAGGACTATGATTCTCAGAAGGAAATCGGTGATGACAAGAGATAGAAAGCTAATAGAGGAGGAAAAACTTCACCTGCTTCGGGTTTTTTCCTCTCTCGGGCATTTTCACTTGCTTTCTCGGGATCACTTACTAGACCCCTGCTGCAGTAATCCCCAATCAGATGTATCACTTACTTAAGTGCGTTTTGTTGTAACTAAACTATTTAGGTTAACTTCCGGTTGCATAGTTACCATTTCCGTCCCCCAAACTAAGGGTAGGTGTCCAGGCGTAATTTTCCATGCCACGCGTGCTGCCACATCAGCCGCTGCAGAATGAGTCACCTATGGGCCACCACAATCTTTATGGGCGGACAAAACCCAAAGAATTCCTGATATCTCCCTTTCTACAAATTAGTCAACTACTATAAGATTCTGAATCCTAATGTGAAAACTCTAATCAACCACTAATGCATACATGTTCTACGGAATCCTGGTTATGCATACTTTCTATAAGATTCTACAAGAATTATAATATAAGCAAAATGAATTAATTATAAAACACGGGTGGTCGTCGATCATTGAGAATTAAGGAACTCATCTCCTCTGGTTGTCTTGTTCAGACACCGTTATCCCGTTTGGCGGTCACTGGCTCGCGTTCATCTTCGTGTGGCGGTGTCAGCTTCGGTACCAGCAAGCGACCAGGTATGATAAAGACTGCTCCTTGCTCTCTGGTCGTTTACGGGGACAGGTTCCCTCGGCCAACCTTTTCTAATTGGCGGAGATCAATTTTAATTAACAGGGGGCAGAAGGAGAGTTGTGTCGAGCGAGGAAGTTGCTCTCGAAGGAATCGTCAGGCGGGTAGGAACCTACCCTCTGGTTCTATTTTAATTCAGTCCGTTGTGTGGTCTCAGGCGTGCGTGCCGTTGACTGCCACCGTTGGGTGGCCACCTCCCTTCCCCCCACGTTTGGCCGCCGACTGGGCTGGTGGACAGAGTGAGTTGGTGGAGGTTAGATGCAAGTGGGAAGGGATGGAAAAAAAATACAGATTATGCTTTCTTCCGGTTGGCCCACTCATTGGGTCAATTGTGGCGTTAAATTATTTTAATATCCCTACATTTATGCTCACCAAGATCCCTTGAATTGCCCATTGTTGTCGGTTTATCTCCTATCTTGCGAATTTGGGAATGTACTAGTAAATGCATATTATGGTCATATAATCTAGAGGGTTTGATGGCTAACTTGGCTTCTGTTTTATTTTCTAGTGCACCCAAGAAGGAAACCATGGCTCACGCTGTCACCGATCAAATTGTGAAATTCAAGCTCGAAGAGGTTCAATCCTCCCGTTTTCGTGCTTCCACACACTCCTTCAGAGCATGTTTGCGGATAAGAGACAATCGATGACGGCAATCAGGGAATCAGTGAATGTTGCATGGCAAGGGCATGGGGTGATACAGGAATGGGTGCTGCGAAAAACCCCATGGATTATCAAAGATAAGATCCTTCACCTGCGACGTTGGGTCCCGAATGTCACCCTTCGTACATATGAAGAAATGGCGAGAGCTCTGTTTGGTGTCCAGCTATGGGATGTGAATGAGGATTGTTGCACTCCCAAGTTTGGTAGAACAATGATCCAAGGCAGGTGTCTATGCATGTCATGTGGAAAAGAAAAACTTCATCAAGGTGAAAGCTATCATTGACTTCACCAAACCACTCTGTTCTCAAATCATGGCGCTCAGCGAGGAGACGGGGTGCTTCTGGGTTAGTTTGAGATACGAGCACCTGCCCAGCTTCTGCATTAAATGTGGTCTTGTGGGCGACTGCTTCCATACATGTGAGTTTGCTTCCATGCATGTGAGTTTCCTCCCCCTCAATGAAAGGAAAAGTTTGGGCCACATATGTCAACCAAAGAGCTGGGAGTAAAGCTGTATGGTGAAGAAGAGGATAATAGACCATTATATGGGACATTCAATTCCGTCTGGGTCAAACCGGAGGTGGCTGGCATGAGAAATCTGGGGCAAAGTAGCAGACAACATAAGCAGAAAGAGGTGGCGGCAATCCCTTCCCCCAAGAGGCAGGGTTCCTTGAACAAGAAATCGGTGCAATTTGAGGATTCCCTATACAAAGCGAATCATAAGGAGGATAGGAGGAATGCTAGGAGAAGCCCTCGTGGTTTCATGGTCTCTAAATCATCGAAGCTCAAGATTGGGCAGAGCAGGGAGAATAGGGGTGCTGGGGGATTCCCAAGGAAGGCTGAATACCGGAAGGCGCATGGCAGTGATCGTGGCCAAGACCGAGACTTGTATCGGAGAAAGAATATGGGCCGCAGTGATAGGCTGTCGAGGAGGGAGGAGGTACAAATCCGAATGGGCCAGATACCCAGGGAAATGAAGGACCCAGTGCGTGGTTCACAACCCTAGGACTCATTAAGACGAGGAAATGGAGGAGGCTCAGGAAGTCAAATGAAGAAGGACAGGCTTGACTCTGGCTTGGAGTATGGGGATTTTCAAAGCAAGAAAGGAAATGGACGTATGCCTGCGCAGAGAGAAGGGAAGGCCCATGTAGGTGGGGGAGAGATGAAGGGGAAGCAAGCTGCCATTAAGACTAGAATGGATGGAAAGGCCCCGGTGTTTGAGAGAGGTACGAAAGGGGTGAAAGCTGCCACAAAGACTCAAGTGGATCGTGGGTCTTTGAGCATGGATTCCGGTAGGAAGAAGACATACATGGTGTTTGATGAGGTAGTTGATGATCTCCTATCATCTCCGTCACCCCAAACATTTCCCTCTAGAAAAGTTCAGCCCAACTTGTCGGCCTCAATAGATGATGATTCAGAGAAGATGGTTTTGGAGGGATATGTTTCTGATTTTGAGTAGGAGATTGCTAGTCATAATTATGAATTGAAGAGTCGCTCTGTCCCCCAGGGGCTATCTGGCTCGATGGCTCCAGTAGCGGGTTTGGTTCGGCGTGATGTTGAAGCCTTCGAGGGAAAGGCATCATTGAAGACCTTGAAGGGGCTGGGTTTTGGAGTTGGAAATGAGAATGAACCCCAAGGGGGTCGTGTCAAGGCGGAAATGCAGGTGGATGAGTACGGCACTAATGAAGGCAATATAATGATTGGTTCGAGGAAGTGGCCTTTTGAGGAGATGGAGGAAGACCAGAGAGAGAATTCATCGGCTAAATGCCAATTTATCAAAGAAAATGATGAGGATGCTAAAGAGGTGGAGGTAGCCCTCCCTGAATGGCGTCAATTGGTTAAATGAGGATGTTGGCGTGGAATGTGAGAGGGATTGGACCAACCCTCACATTCTGTACTGCTCTAGGTTTAATTCATTCTAATAAACCTGATCTAGTTTTCTTATCGGAAACGAGATCTAGGCGTAGGGTTGTGTCGCGTCGTATGCGTGGTTTGGGTTTTGGTGTTTCCATTTGTTTCTTTGTTGGCGCGGTTGATGCGTCTGGTGGCCTTGTCGTAGGTTGGTCCCCCGGAGTTGATACTCTGGTGTTGAGTCATTCCAATCGTCATATCTTTGTTCGGATTAATGAGAATGATTTTTATTATGTGGTTGTGTTTGTTTATATTAGTTGTATCGATTCGATCCGGGCAGCCCAATTTCTTGCCTTGCAAACTCAATGTGAAGAAATCCAATTACCCTATGTGGTGATAGGTGATTTTAATACCATCCTCTCCGGAAATGAGATAGATGGTGGGAACCCTTGGAACCCGGCACGATCCATGGCGCTTAGGGACTTTGTGAATAATCTGGGTCTCCATGATGTGGGATACCAGGGGGATCAATTCACATGGAAAAATAAGAGGATGGGACAGGCCTGTGTTAGAGAAAGACTTGACAGGGCTTTATGTTCTCAATCCTGGATAGATCAGTTTCCGGAGACCCTCGTGAAGCATCATACAGATCAAGGCTCCGACCACAGAGCTCTACTTCTTTCAGATAAGCCCTTTACAAGACAAAGTCGGCCGTTATTCCGGTTCGATGCTTGCTGGGCAAAGAATCCTGAAGTACGAGCTATGGTGGAGTATGTGTGGAATGAAACGGTTCATGGATCCCCCATGTATCTACTATGGGCGAGATTAAAGCATCTACGTCACCTTTTTTACGACTGGAGTAGGGCTGGCACGACCAATTCCCTTCGGAACATTAAAACTCTCCAGTCGGAGATTGACCAGGTCAAACATGTGGTTAATGTTGATTGGGATAAGGTTCGAGACCTAGAAACGGAGCTTACTTGCCAGTGGGAGGCGGAGGAGATCTACTGGCATCAGAAATCTCAAGTTCGGTGGCTTAAAAAAGGTGATGGCAATACATCCTATTTCCTATCGCTCGAACGGTAACTGAGGAGATGAATGCGGCTTTGACGGCTGAGGTTCTGGCGTCAGAAGTCCGACAAACAGTTTTCTCGATTGGAGCTACTCAAGCCTCGGGATCATATGTGTTCACTGGCAAATTCTTTCGCACATTTTGGGACATCGTTAGTGAGTCTGTGGTAGAAGTTGTCTGTTCCTTTTTTTGTACAGGACGGATGTTATGAAGCTTCAATCATACGTGGCTAACGCTGATCCCTAAGGTGGATAATGCGGAGAATATGCACCAGTTGAGACCTATTAGTTTGTGTCAATTCGTCTATAAAATCATTACCAAAATTATGTCGGAAAGATTGGCTCAGTTTCTCCCCGCGATAATTTCGCCGGGGCAGAACGCGTTCATTCATGAACGGCAAATAGTGGATAATGTACTGATTGGGCATGAATTAATGCACTATCTCAAAATTAAAACTAAAGGAAAAAGGGGGTATATGGCTCTGAAGGTTGATATGGAGAAGGCCTATGATAGAGTCGAATGGCCCTTTTTAGTAGCAATTTTAAGAAAGTTGGGATTTGATCCGATTTGGGTTCAATGGATTGAGGAATGCTTGCGATCCTCCTCGTTTTTTGTGCTGATGAATGGTACTCCAGCGGGTTACTTTACGGGCACGCGGGGACTGCGGCAAGGTGATCCGTTTTCTCCCTTGCTCTTTGTTATCTGTACAGAAGGATTTGTCGCATTAATACGAAAAGCCATTGAGGAGCGAAAGTTGGCAGGCGTCCGGGTTAGTCCCAGAGCCCCGCGTGTGTCCCATCTTCTCTTTGCGGATGATTCGTATCTATTACTCAGAGGATCGATGCAAGAATGTGATAACTTGCTGGAGGTTTTAAATGAATACGAGGAACTTAGTGGGCAGAGGGTGAATTTAGCTAAATCGGCAGTTTGCTTTAGTAAGAATATTTTGCCAGGGGATCAAGAAACTCTTGCCCTTCGATTGGGGGTTGGAGCAGTCAGTGTACACGATAAATACTTGGGTCTACCTACTTTGATAGCTCAGTCCAATATGGCGACCTTCCGTAGAGAAGCTATTGGAACGGCTACAGGGATGGAAGCAGAAGGTGCTTTCATGAGGAGACGTTGATTAAATCTATCGCGTTCTCCTTACCACTACATGTTATGTCTTGTTTTAAACTCCTTCTTTCCCTTTGTCGTATACTGGATAAGCACGTAGCTAGATTCTGGTGGGGGTGGATGGGGGTCGAGCCCGAGTTAGGTGGATTTCATGGCGCAATCTGTGTACAAGCAAACATGAGGGGGGGATGGGATTTCAGCGATTTGAGCACTTTAATCAAGCTCTCTTGGCTAAGATTGGCTGGCGAATTCTAACGGAGCCTGATTCCCTTTTGGCCCAGATTTATAAAGGCAAATATTTCCCGACTGGTTCTTTCCTCTCGGCGACTGCGCGATCCCGCCCGTCGTGGGGATGACAGAATATTCTCCATGTGCCTCCTCCAACAAGGACTTAGGTGGAAGATTGGGGACGGGCACCAAGTCTCTATTCAGCATTCTAGTTGGGTCTCGTCTATTCACCCCCACCCTCCAAGGGTTAATCCCCAGGCCATCTCGGAGGAGGCTGACCCTAAAGTCGCCGAACTCGTAACGGCTGATGGGGGAGGGTGGTGTTGTCAGCTGATCTATAGATGTTTCCACCGGATGTAGCTCGTGCCATCCTGGCCATCCCCTTGCCCCAAGTGGGTATAGAGGATAAGCTAGTGTGGCATGATACTTGTGATGGACTTTTCACTATCAAGTCTGCCTACCATTTGGCTATTTTGATGGATAGACAGGTAGGTACGTGGCGAGCCGTGGTAAGCTGGATGGATAGGTCAAGTTGGATGCGACTGTGGGGGCTACGGATCCCACCTAAACTAAAGCTATTCCTTTGGCAAATTTTTCACTGTATTTTGCCCTGACTGAAGCTTTGATTGAGAAAAAAGTACAGATTTTGCCTCGCTGCCCGGTGTGTTGGACGGAATCTGAAACAATGGAGAACCTATTTTGGGAATACCCGATTGCGGAGGCCCTTTGGGCTCACTCAGGTTTGGAGCATTTGGGTCATGGTTTGCCTCATCAAACCTTCCCTATTTTCCTTAAAAAAATGTTTGCTTAGGATGACCCAACCTAATCAAATTATGGCTTTGGTGGCACTCCTGTGGCGTATTTAGAAATCTAGGAACTGGGCCACCTTTGAGGGTAAGCAGTTTTTAGTTCCTCAGCTGATGCGTCAATACCATCAGCAACTCCATGAGTGGGTGTCCTTGCCAGAGGATAGGATAATCCGGGATCAACCGATTGCGCAGCATAGTATGGACTTGGTGGATACAACCTGTGTCGTCTGTATGTGGGATGGGGTTGTTCGTCCTGACTCACATTCAGCAGGAGGTCTAATCATAATGGATGGAGGCGGTGCAGTACTCTTGGCAAGAGGTGTGGTTTTTGAGAATATGTTTGACCCTCTTGTGGTGGAGACTATGGTCCTCCGGTAAGCGATTAAGTGGTGTCAAGCTCTCGGCATCCATCAAGTTCGTTTTGAAGGTGACGCGAAAGTGCTTATTGATAAGGTTAATGCCAAAGATACGCAGGATAGTCATGTTGGAGCTATTATCCAGAAGATCCTCCATTTGATGGCGCAGTATAATGGCTTTAGTATTCGATTCGTCGGTCGGAGTAGCAATGGGGTAGCCCACTCAGTGGCTAGGAAGGCCCTTTCTTTGTCTCCGACTATGTGTCGATTGTATGATTTTCGTGCCGGGGTTGGTTCCATGTTGTAATTCGATATCTTCTTATCAATTAATATAATTATCTTTTGTAAAAAAAAAAGCAACCGATTAATAATGATGAAGTCCAGGGAAGGATTACCAGCCACCAAGTACTAATTTGGTATCAACAAATAAGTTAGTGGCCATAAGTTGGATAGAATTGAGTTAACTACCGTTAGTTTGGGGGACGGAAATGGTAACTATGCAACTGAAAGTTAACTTAAATGATTTAGTTGCAACAAAACGCACTTAAATAGTTAACGTGCATCCAATAGTAAACTTAAATGGCACAAGGTGCAATTAACGCTTTCCTTTGACAATTGGAAAAAATAATTTGACTTACTAATATGTGAGCATTTGTCGGCTTGAACCCTCTAATTTAAAATCATGTTCTCAATCTAAATAATAATAAAATCATGTTCTCAATCAAATATTTCGTAAAATCAAACAAACACTTATACAAAAAAGAATATTTCAGTAAAAGAATTCTTGGTCTGCTAGTATAACACATCTTACCTCTGTAGGCATAACCATGCATCTATCATGCAGGAAAATATAGACAATACTCTTACTTCGGTAGCCACAATATTGAAATATATCATAATGTTAAAACGAGTTAGTTTATGAGTTGAACTCAACAAATCACTATATTGAGCTTGTGCCAAACCTCTCGTGAATAGTTCAGCTCATTGCATCCGAAGTCGAACCATACTACTCAGTATCCTCTTTCTT